AAGGAGAGGGTAAAAAACAAGGTGAGAGAAAAAAAGAAAAGTGAGTGAAAGGAAAGGGGGATGGGATGGAAACAAAAGAAGGACAAGCAGACAGTCTTGTTTGCTTGACATTATTCCTTTACCTTTGTTATACTTTAAAATTGGTGAAGCTCTATTTATGTATGACACACACGTTGCATACAAAAGTAGGTATACACTACAGTATTAATGTACAGATATTTTAAAACAGTACAACAAAGCTAGGGAAATTTCAATCTTTAACTTGAAATTTGATCTTGTCAGATTTTATCATATCACATGGTGAGGATTTTTTTTTTTTTTTAATTCCAAATTCAATTTCAACTATTTAATGAGATTGGAATATTTGATACAAAAAATGATTGCAGCAATTTTTCCTTTTTTTGATTAGCGGCATTTAATTTTTTCAGTTTGGATAAGACAATTTATGATTTTTGCATTTTATACATGAAAATAAAATATGGCTAAATATAGAAAATCTTTTTACTTTTATCCCATCCACACAGATCTCGTTATTTCCCTATTATTAAACGGAATACACATTATCGACTGATAGAAAAAAAAGAGAGAAAAGATTAAAGAGAAGTCAATAGAAATTATACCAAAGAATTTTTACCAATTATGTTTTATCCTCTTGTATGTGCCATGTCCCTTCAGGACATGGACGATCATGGCTCTCCACAAATTCCTGTCCTTATTAAAGTTTATCTTTTTGCTGTTTTAATCCTTGTTCTGACAATCATTTACACAAGTTTTTTTTCACAAAAATATTTTATTCAGTATATCCTGTGTGTATCAAATTTTCCAAGCCCTCTTTCCTCATTATGTGCCCTAGAAATTTCAACTTTCGCTTTCTGATTCTAAGTCTAAGTGCCCTTTTTGTTTCCATTTCCCTAAAGATTTACTCACATGTTCAGTCCATGACATCCTCAGCATTATACTGTAGAACCATATTTCTGTTGCTTCAAGTTTCTTTACATCTATGATGTAATTTTCTGGCATTCACTGACATATAGGAAGAATGATATTACACTCTTTTCCTTGCTTCTAACATTCATTCATATGGATAGACAGATAGATATACATGTTCATAATATATTTATTACTTATTTTATTAACTGGATAATTATATATATATATATATATATATATATATATATATATATATATATATATATATATATATGAAGAAATATAGTTTTAAGGTGTGCTATATTTATGGGATAAAGTGCTCAGTATCAGAGATAGAGCATATGTAAATTCCAGAAACTCAAATGAACTGCAATAGTCTACTTCTCCTTTGGTAAGTCTGTATATTGTCCACAGTTCTAAATCCTTTCTCTATGTCTCATAATCATTCTTTTCCTCTCAGAACTGTGGTGGAGTCTTCATATTGCATGCCATCTTTTTTGCTCTGCTACCAATTGTTAATTTCCTTGAGCATAGATTCCTCTATCCAGGTTGTCAGCTCTGAGATCGTCTAAACACTGAGCTTTCATAACCAGCTCCTGCCACCAACTTACCTCAAGGTGAATCCTGATTGGCTAATACTACTGCTATGTAGATTGTTTACTAGCACCACCATTTTCAATCTTTCTCTTCTGCAATCATGCATTTGATCAAGGGGAGATAACTCAATTATTTTAACTAAACAAATGCACAGATACCTATTATATCAAAGTGAAGTAGACAAATTCCAGAAAAAAAAAGCATTTTGCTGTTTTACAAGAGAAAAATGAGATGGCAAACCATGTCATAAATGAATGTAGCAAGCTGGTTGAAAGGAATATAAAAGTAGGTACAATGGAGCAACAACTGTTACACACAGGGAACTATTCAAATGACTTGGGTTCAACCATTTATACAAATGGTATCAGCATATATGAAAATAAAAAGAACAATACATGTACTTTGACATTAAGTCCAACTATCCCCATCCATTCAGGCAGATCAGATTTAACCAGATTTTGTCCTAAATAAGGAAATGAAAAGCCACCAGATAAAAAAATATGGTCATGCCAACAGGACAGCGGATGATGAAAGAGAGTGAAAGAAATTAGAAAGATGAAGACTACTTACTGTACTGACAACAAATAGCACACTTGGAAATATGCCTACAACAAAAAGTACATTCAGTGGGGCCTTCAGCAAATGTGTGTGCTTAGAGTAAATATTACACTTGCAAGTATGTACCTACTGCAAAGAGCAAACTTAGAAATGAGTGCTATTGCAAAAAGCCCATTCAGAAGTATGCACCTAAAATTGCTATTGGGAGAGGTGTATAAGTTTGAGATTGTCCAGGCAATGGTAATGTTTTGGTCATAAAGAATGCTGACGAAAACATGCAAGGATTGAAAACTGTTCTCAATTGATGCCTGACAACAGCCACTGAATATCTGTGGTTTGGTTGCACAGGCAGAAGAATAAAAACTAATGAAATGTGTTGGCTATCAAAGAAATAGTGAACTATATGTAACAGAGAAAAGAGAAAAAAATTAATACAATTGACAAGAGAAGAAAACTTGAATAAAAAAATCCCAAAACAGAGAATGAGAAGACAAAGAACTTCATTGAGAATTCAAGTGATAAAAAAAACTATAGATGAAATGATATGGGCATGGTTGTGCAAAGGACACTTGAAAAGGAAAATAGAATTGCAATGAATAAGCAACCCAGAATAAATGTATTTAAACTATATCAAAGTCAACACAGACAAGACATAAAAATATGAAATGTCTCTTGGGTAGAAAATGTCAATAAATCAGTATAGTAAATTGGTTCAGAAGTAGATATGACTGGGTAGGAAAGGTGATTCACTAGGAACTGTGTTTGTATTTCAAGATATAGAAAGCTGGTATCAGCCCAAATATGTTCTAAAGAATAAAAAAAGAAAGATTCTTTAGGATTTTGAAATTCAAACAGACAACTTAATCTAGGTTGGTAAACTGGAACTAGTTTTTCTAAACACAGGCAAAAAGAATTAAATCCAATACATATTTTTCAACCAAATTAAATCAAAATCCCATCAGAAGGTTTTGTTTGATAAACAATAATTACTAAGGCAAATACTACCCAAATACTTGGTGGGCATAGTTGTAAACCTATCACGTGTCATTTTTGGACTATTTAGAAAATAAAAATAATAACTCCCTTCACCACTCCAGCAAATTCAAGAAAAAAATTTTCACAAGCCAGAGGGAAATTATTTTCTAACTAATGAAAATCTTGTATTCCAAAAGTTCACATCTTTATGTGAAATTAGATTTTGGATCCCTTTAACGGATATAAAAATAGAAGCATACTGCTTGCCTAAGTTCCAAACAATTTTGGAGGCCAGTTTAATCTACACCTACACGCAGATGCAAAATTAAAGAGATGAGCCAGCAACTGCCAACTAAGGCCTTATCCATGCACTGACAGAAACATTAGTTTGTCATAAATTAAGTCTGTTCACACATCTCATATTACACTAAGAACACTTAATTTATAAAAACAAACTTCACTGCAAGGAAAATTGAACATTTTATTGTTATTGTATAATTTCTAAATGATTATATAAAATGTTATTTCAACTGATGTTCTGCTTCTACTTTCTCTTCAGAAAGTAACTTTTTTATGTTTCATTTAAAAAGTGCATTGTTGGTGACGTTTGGAATTCCGACACTCAGATAACAACAAAAATCTGGGTCAAAGGATTCCAACAGGGCAAAAAATATCTATGACATGATGGATACAGTTTTTCTAGAAAGCCATAAGTTAAAGATGAAAGAGATTTAAAAACTAGATAATTATCAGAGAAAGAAAAAGAATTGTGGAAGATGAAGGTGACATTTGAATGAGAGGGTGCTGAAAAGTTCTTGGCTTATCCCACTTTCCCAAATCTGACCAAACCATCAGAGTCTTTTTTAATCACTTCTTGGTAAAGGTGAGAACTTTTTAGCACCTATGTGCAGTTACCATCACTACCACACAGCCAGAAAAAAAAAAGCAGCACTTAGTGGGACAAAAAGAGTGGAAATGAAAAGAAGATCTGAAACTGTTCAAATACCAATTATTGAAACTGGTAAAAATACTGAGGAGGGTGCTGGAGCATTGAGGAGACTTGCTTTCATCTCGGCAAGAGCCACCAGATATTCATGACATGAAAATTTGTTGAAAAATGGTTATGCTAATGAAGATAATAACAGTAAGGTTAATAATCATCATTATCCAAACAGACTGAACGTAATAAAAACAGTGATGATGATGATAATAGAATGGAATTATCTACTAAAAATGAAAGTGAAGAAATTAAGAAATAAACATGTATTAATATTAAAAAAGCACCAAATCATTCTGATGCATGTTATAAATATTTTATCAACTTCTTCATCTCCCCTATTTCCTTTCTTTCGGCTTACTTAACAATGAAACTATTTAACATCATCATCTATGGATTTTTTCTCTCTCTCGTCTCCAAATGTTTTTCTTTGTTCTTTCTCCTTTTTTGTCACTTCCAAGTCTACATCCTCTTCTTCTGATATCAGATTTTATTTCTTAAAACATTCTTCATATTTTACAAATACTCCTTCTTTTCTACATTCTTTTTCACTTTCTTTTTATTACTTTGCAGCAAAAAAAAAAAAAAAAACTTCTATCAAAATCATTAACATTATCATCAAACCTGTGATTGTTGTTCTTTATTTTCTCTTTCACTATCATAAACATTATCATCATCAACCCCATCAATATATTTGTTGCTTTCTCTAATACAAGTAGATGATATGCATTTCATTAACATTTGTGCAACAGTAAAAATCAGAATTAAAAGGCATCCAAAGAAAATGTAATCATATTATAAGCAATCTGAATAACCCTATGTGTAAGAGTAATTCACTGATTATGTTAGAAAAAAAAGGATTTACATAATTTTAAAAAGTAATTTTTTTGTTTTTTATTCAAGGATATGATATGAATATTGGAAAAAAATGAATTGGGGAAAATTAAGAGAGAACAGAGGAAAGAAGGAAAGAATTAAGGGATAGATTAGAAGGAATGGATAGATATAGAGGAAAAAAGTAAGAGATAGGTAAGTAGGAAAGATGTAAGTTAGATAGGAAAGAAGTGAGGGAGAGGAGGGAAAGAAGTGAGGGATAAGAAGCTAGAGAGACGGGAAAGAAGTGAGGGATAGGAAGGTAGAGAGACGGGAAAGAATTGAGGTATAAGAAGGTAGAGAGACGGAAAAGAAGTGAGGGATAGGAAGGTAGAGAGACGGAAAAGAAGTGAGGGATAATATGGTAGAGAGACAAGAAGCTAGAGAGACGGGAAAGAAGTGATATATAGGAAGGTAGAGAGAAGTGAAAGAAGTGAGGGATAGGAAGCTAAAGAGACGGGAAGGAAGTGACGGATAGGAAGGTAGAGAGACTGGATGGAAGTGACGGATAGGAAGGTAGAGAGACAAGAAGCTAGAGAGACGGGAAAGAATTGATGATAAGAAGCTAGAGAGACGGGAAAGAATTGAGGGATAGGAAGGTAGAGAGACGGAAAAGAAGTGAGGGATAGGAAGGTAGAGAGACTGAAAAGAAGTGAGGGATAGGAAGGTAGAGAGACGGAAAAGAAGTGAGGGATAGGAAGGTAGAGAGACGGAAAAGAAGTGAGGGATAGGAAGGTAGAGAGACGGAAAAGAAGTGAGGGATAGTATGGTAGAGAGACAAGAAGCTAGAGAGACGGGAAAGAAGTGATATATAGGAAGGTAGAGAGAAGTGAAAGAAGTGAGGGATAGGAAGCTAGAGAGACGGGAAGGAAGTGACGGATAGGAAGCTAGAGAGACGGGATGGAAGTGACGGATAGGAAGCTAGAGAGACGGGATGGAAGTGACGGATAGGAAGGCAGACGGGAAAGAAGTGAGGTATAGGTAGGCAGAGAGACGGGAAAGAAGCGAGGGATATTTAGGTAGAAAGATGGAAAAGAAGTGAGGGATAGGAAGGTAGAGAGACTGGAAAGCTAGAGAGACGGGAAAGAAGTGAGGGATGTGAAGATAGAGACGGGAAAAAAGTGAGGGATAGGAAGCTAGAGAGACGGGAAAAATGTGAGGGATAGGAAGCTAGAGAGACGGGAAAGAAGTGAGAGATAGGTAGGCAGAGAAACGGAAAAGAAGTGAGGTGTAGGAAGTCAGGGAGACAGGAAAGAAGTGACGGATAGGAAGCTAGAGAGACAAGAAGCTAGAGTGACGGAATAAAGTGAGGTATAGGAATGTAGAGATTCGGGTAAGAAGTGAGGTATAGGAAGGTAGAGAGACGGGTAAGAAGTGAGGGATAGGAAGGTAGAGAGACGGGAAAGAAATGAGGGATAGGAAGGTAGAGAGACGGGAAAGAAATGAGGGATAGGAAGGTAGAGAGACGGGAAAGAAGTGAGGGATAGGAAGGTAGAGAGACGGGAAAGAAGTGAGGGATAGGTAGGGAGAGACGGGAAAGAAGTGAGGGATAAGAAGCTAGAGAGACGGGAAAGAAGTGAGTAATAGGAAGGTAGAGAGAATGGAAAGCTAGAGAGACGTGAAAGAAGTGAGGGATACGAAGGTAGAGAGGTTGAAAGCTAGAGAGACGGGAAAGAAGTGAGGTATAGGAAGGTAAAGTGACGGGAAAGAAGTGAGGAATAGGTAGGCAGAGAGACGGGAAAAAGTGAGGGATAGGAAGGTAGAGAGCCGGGAAGGAGAGGGATAGGTAGGTAGGTAGGTAGGTAGAGAGGCAAGATGCTAGAGAAACGGGAAAGAAGTGAGGTATAGGAAGGTAGAGAGACGGGAAACAAGTGAGGAATAAGTAAGGTAGAGAGCCGGGAAAGAAGTGAGGGGTAAGGTAGGTAGAGGGACGGGAAACAATTGTGGGATAGGAAGGTGGAGAGACGGGAAAGAAGTGAGGGATAGGAAAGCAGAGAGACGGGAAAAAGTGAGGAATAGGAAGGCAGAGAGACGGGAAAGAAGTGAGGGATAGGAAGGCAGAGAGACGGGAAAGAAGTGAGGGATAGGAAGGCAGAGAGACGGGAAAGGAGTGAATGATAAGGTAGGTAGAGAGACGGGAAAGAAGCGAGTGATAAGGTAGGTAGAGAGACGGGAAAGAAGTGAGGGATAAGGTAGGTAGAGAGACGGGAAAGAAGTGAGGGATAAGGTAGGTAGAGAGACGGGAAAGAAGTGAGGGATAAGGTAGGTAGAGAGACGGGAAATAAGTGAGGGATAAGGTAGGTAGAGAGACGGGAAATAAGTGAGGGATAAGGTAGGTAGAGAGATGGGAAAGAAGTGAGGGATAAGGTAGGTAGAGAGACGGGAAAGAAGTGAGGGATAAGGTAGGTAGAGAGACTGGAAAGAAGTGAGGGATAAGGTAGGTAGAGAGACTGGAAAGAAGTGAGGGATAGGAAGGCAGAGAGACGGGTAAGAAGTGAGGCAGAGGAAGGTAGAGGGACGGGAAAGAAGTGAGGTATAGGAAGGTAGAGGGACGGGAAAGAAGTGAAGTATAGGAAGCTAGAGTGACGGGAAAGAAGTGAGGGATAGGTAGATAGCAAATAAGTAATAGATAGATAGGATAGACAGATAGATAAGAAGAAAGTAAATGATAGAGAGATGTGGAACAGAATTAAAGAGATAGATATTTTTTTTTATGTTTACCGAATTCACGGCACAGATGCCACTCAAGGTAGATGATTAGTGTATGATGTATAAGCATAAGGGAAGGCAGAAGTGCTGTTTATGAAATTATGTAGGAAAGAAATCAGTTAACCCTAGACTTGAAGAGGTTAAGATTATAGTGATTGAGAAAATATCCTGTTGGGAGTTTGTTCCACAAAGCAGCAGTTGTTGGGAACAAACTGTCTTTTTTCCTTATGGAATATGAAGGGAATTGTGATTGTTCATTCTAGTGTAATATCATGGCAGGTCTTAGCTGCACCATTTAGAACTGGTGGAACTAATCAATTTAGTTTTTCAGAACAACTGTCATGGCAATAGTGATCAAGTAGCAAGAGTTTTGTGATGATTCATCTCAGGGAAGGCATTGTAGAGTTGAAAATAATTCAACACCCACAGGGCTGCATTAGATGTTTTGAAACTATATCAAGACAAGCCAGTGTAAAGTGAGCAGCTCCAGTCCAGATATATAATTGCCTCTTAGTAGGCGTTATAACCTTGTTTGGGGGTGAATTAAAAAAAATAAATAAAATAAAATAAAAAAAATAATGTAGAATTGGAATATTTTCTCTTCTATTTCCTTCTTTTTCTTTGTTGCTGTAATTTTTAGAAAATCCCAGAAATTTTCAACTTCTTTCTCCTAATTTGTCAATGAAAATGGCATCAAAAGGCATCACAAAACAAACTGTCACACAATATATATATATATATATATATATATATATATATATAGAGAGAGAGAGAGAGAGAGAGAGAGATTTACATTGCCACTTCAAGCCAAGAGTGTTGCCATGTTACTTACCAGATTTAAACTGTTTGCATTTGCTTCCTTTTTTCATTGCTGGCGAACCAGAAGTTATCTATGATTGGACTATAAATTGCCAAAAGGAGTCACAGTGTGTGATTAAAAATGGAGAAAATTGTAGCAGATGGATGACACACAAGTTGATACCCGATTAGTTGTCAGATGGATCACTGTGGAGAGGGGATATGATGCTGAAAGATCCAAAGCCCTTAATGAACCTCAGTTAAAAACATCACTGATGATGTGTGCCAAAGTATCAAATAGATGTATTTTACAAAACGATATTATATATGTGTGTGTGTGTGTATACATTTAAGCAGCAAATTCTCTTTTAGACATATCTGATTGAATAAGTTAGACATTATGTCAGCTAATTTTTAATAAAATCTACTCACGAATAACTTTCAGTGTATTGATGTTAAAAGGATGAGAGAAATGTGCTATAGCTGTTTAAATTTCTTTTATTTACATTTCCCAAGTACTTTCGATCTTCCAAGATCATCTTCAGGGGTGTAAGTGGTACAAAACTATATGTTGTTCATTAGTATAAGTATTTATAAAAAGATGTGCTTTGTTATCCATTACTGTAATTATATATATATATATATATATATATATATAAAATGATTATCTACACATTTCCAATACACCTATCTGCTAAGGTGGCAAGCTTATCCCTGTTGTAGATGATTGCTCAGGCATATGTGTTTGATCAATGCTCGAAGAGCCCACCTGTGCTTTATACTGCACCTATGCTGAGTGGACTAGTTACAGTTTCTGGCAGAAAATGCATAATATGGCATGATCAACAGTTTGAACCAGGCCAGTATGCTCAAACCCCTGATCATGATGACTTGTGACTTATTGCTTGTAAAACCAGATGGCCACAGAAAAGTTCCATCTACCCAATTTCACTCACAAGGATTTGGTCAATCCATGGAATAGCTTTCAGTCACTTTCCAACAGTAACACACACCGAGATTGCCTTCTAACTCAATAATTGGAAACCAATTGTAATGATGACTAAAGAAAATTACTAATCATAAATGGTAGTTAAGAAAAAATTTAGTGTACACTAACATACTTTAGCTTTTTGCAAAGCAATGGCAGTGTACACAGTGGATTAAAGACTACAAAATGGTTTGGCTATGTCCAATTAAATATTTCATAGTTAAGCAGTTTACTGAGATGAATATTGAGGGAAGTCATAGCAAAGGATGGCCAACAAAATCTTGGAGAGATGTCAACAAGCTGATAGAAGACATGACTCTAAATAGAGTAGTTTGCAAAAGTAGAGAGAAGAATGCTTCCAATAAGCATAACCATTGAATCAAAGAAAGAATGCAAAAAATCAGAAAGTGAATGACTTCCAATAGTACAAAATCTTATGGGCATTTCCAAGCTTAAATTTCTAAACATTACTAAAATTTTTCAATTCAGTTTTGAAGATATAGTTAAATTGTAGTATTAGGTTTCTAGTCACAGATCTCAGTCTCCTGTTTAATAAACTATTTAGCTTATAACTTCAGCTGTATAGGCAAATTGTGAACATATTACAAGCACTAAAGCATAATGTTAATTATGGCAATATTCCAATTAGATTTCAAATTGAGATGTTTCCATCATCAATCATAAAAATTGTGTTCAGAGAAAATATTTTCCATTTAGTGACCCATTATCATCAATTATAAACTTTACAAATGTATTTAAATATTTGTAACTGAATCATTTTTAAGCATGGAATCTGCTGTTGAAAAATTGCTTTTTTGCTTTTGTTTGTCATTTCTTGTTTGTTTTGTACTGAAACATCAGAATGAGTAATTTTATTGATAGAAGAAACAACAGAATTATTAATACAAGCAAAACCTGTTGAATTTTCATGAATGTTGACATTTAAGATTATCCATTATCTCATTATTCTGTTCTTCCTCACCCTTTGTATCTTCTCATTTTCTTCCTTATCCCTTTCAATTTTTGTAGCCTGTACATGTTATCATCTAAGTGCAAAACAAACAGTTTAGTTTAATTTGCAAAAAAGAAAGGAACAAAGTGTGTTTTTTTACTGTATCCTCTCTTTTATTTTTCTTTTGCTCCATCTCTTCATGAATAATTTTAAAGTATAGCAATTCTTAAGCCTTCCCATCTCAACCTGCCTTTCAATCATTTTCTCATGATATTTAGTCAGTACATCTGTCACTATAACTTTATTGTATCTCAAGCTCTAAGTGGCAGTATGACTATCTTTTTTTTTAATCTTTTCACCCCTTAAGCAACTAAAACAGAAGGGGTTAGTGAGAGAGCAAGAAACTAAAAAGAAGCATTACTAAGGAGAAAGGACAATAAAAGAAAATAATGGTTGAGGTTGGATTTAAATCGAGCATCTGTTATGGGACCTTACCCATAGTAACATAATGGACTATTCCATACGTAATAAATACTGTGCCTCAAGAGAAAGCAGGGAGTTCAGTCCAAAGTCGGGTGACCGGCTGAACTCTCTGCCTTTGGGCGGGGAGGAACCCAAACGAGGCTACACCGAAGGGCGGAGTCTCTTTTGGGGCGGTAAACCGACCCTGAACTCATTTATACAGGTTCAAGGGCATATTTTTGACCGAGCCTACAGTTAAAATGGCCTTGTGCCACATGATGCCCTCGTGTGGGGAGGGGGGTGACTAAATACTGTTCATTTAGAAGTCTGGAGTGAAGTCCGTCAGGAGTCTGTCAGTCAGAGCGAGCGAGTCAGTCAGTTGAGTCAGAGGCAGTCCAAAACAGAGTCACGTTCAGACAATTACTACAAGACATTGGAATAGTAATACTGGTCGAGACTACATTTTTCTCCCTACTAAACCTGATTGTTCGTACTAACACTTTCTACTTCTCTGTATATATTCCTGTTTGTAATATATCTGTATTATTCCATATCCATGTTCTTCTTTATTGGTTCTACCTTGGACTATTACCATGGTACAAGGAACCGGACCATAACAGCATCAAAAAGACGGTTTTTCCCTGGTCACTGCTGTCATTTTAACTACCTTCACTCCTCAGCAATGTTTTTTGTTTAAAAAGTGATGATTAGAATTGTAATAAAACCTCAACATATGATGAATGTGAACTGTACATTTTTTTCATTCTTGAGAATTGACAACAAAAATAAACTATTTATTTATTAGATTGTTATATTTTTTATTGGAATGATTGGCAAAACATTGGTTAATTGCCAATCGATTCAAACTTTATAAAATGGTAAATAAGGAATTTCTTTATAGCTGGTTCATATATTTTAATAAATGTTTATAAATCTATGAATAAAATATTATTTTCATATTTATTTGTCTATAAATTGCTAAATGATAAATGTTGCATTGCATTAGTTTTTAAAAAATTGTAAATGTAAAATTATTCTTGTAAATAAATCCCATAAGTAATGTTTAATATTTTTGTTGTAAATTCTCAAGAATAAAAAGAAATGTAAAAATTCACTTTTATCATGTTTAGGCTGTATTACAATTCTAATCATTACTTTATAAAACAATAAACATTGCTGAGGAGTGAAGGTAGTTATAATAATAGCGGTGTCAAGGAAAAAAAACATCCTTTTGACACTCCATATTTTGTGGACCTGAATGTTCAAATTTCCTTCATTTTTAAAATATTTTTCTTGCTTGAAACTGAGAATTTCTCTTAGCCCTTTTCACCATGCATGGACCTTCTAAGAAAACTATTACCCATGCACGGCTCAACCCATCATTATTTTATTAAAAATTTGCTCTAAAATCTCCACTTACACAGAAGTATATAAGATACTTGAACATGAGGAAATACTGTAATGATAGAGCCTCTTACCTTTTATTTTTTAGCAAAGGCTTCGGATAGCAATGAAAAAATTTAAATTTATTTTGTTGAACACAGAGTTCAATGCTTTGCAAAAAAAAAAAATTATCAGAAATATGGCACTGTAACTCTGAAATACTTCCAGGAGTTTTGGAGGAAAGGAAACCTGAACAATCGGAACTGGCACATCTTAAGAACTATGATGTGAAAGTAACCCAATTCTTTTAAAAAATGACGCAATTAAAAGTCTGTCAATTAAAATCAGGAAGTTAAAAAAAAGAAAGTATTTTATTCACGAATTTTGAGAATTTTACACGTTACACATGAAACAAATGATTTGTAAATTGAAATTCAATAACTTTATTTATTGATTGAATTTTAGTTCAGTGTATTTAATTTATTTAGTGTTTTTGAAGTTTTACAAGTTAATGAAACTTTCCTAAAACACTTTTCTGATAGGCTGGAGTTAGATTTCCAAAGTGCTGTCATTTCAGTTGTTAAGTGGCTTGTAGTTCTACAGAACATGGAAGAAAAATAGATACATGGCTTTCTTATGAAACGTTCAGGAAAATCATATGAAAGGTATTGATGGCTGAATATGCAGCTACAGTCTCAGATAGAAAGATAAGAAAAGGGTGGAATAGAGAGATAGATAAGAAAAGGATAGAATAGAGAGATAGATAGGAAAGAAGGGAGGGAGGGAAAGATAGAGAGATAGATAGGAAAGAAGGGAGGGAGGGAAAGATAGAGAGATAGATAGGAAAGAAGGGAGGGAGGAAAGATAGAGATAGATAGAAAGGAAAGAAGGAGGAGGGAAAGATAGAGAGATAGAAAGGAAAGAAGGGAGGAGGGAAAGATAGAGAGATAGAAAGGAAAGAAGGAGGGGGGAGGGATAGAGAGAGAGAAAGGAAAAAGAAGGGAGGGAGGAAAGATAGAGAGATAGAAAGGAAAGAAGGGGGAGGAGGGAAAGATAGAGAGATAGATAGGAAAGAAGGGAGGGAGGGAAAGATAGAGAGATAGAAAGGAAAGAAGGGAGGGAGGGAAAGATAGAGAGATAGAAAGGAAAGAAGGGAGGGAGGGAAAGATAGAGAGATAGAAAGGAAAGAAGGGAGGGGGAAAGATAGAGATAGAAAGGAAAGAAGGGAGGGAGGGAAAGATAGAGAGATAGAAAGGAAGGAACCAAACAGACTGAGATATAGATGCATTTCTATGTAAGCACAGGAAAAAATATATCTTTGAATATATGCACATATTTATTTGCCAATTTTCATATTAATATCTCTTTATGCATACATATGCCTGTACACACACAAATATATCTGCATATATTTTATATACACACATATTGACTGGTTAATATGTTTTTGTGGGTTATTTAAAATTATGATATTTCCAGATACAAGTCTTACTATTTAACCCATAACTGGGAGGAGATGGCTCCATACCTTACCCAAGGATATTTTTGTATAAGTGAATATAAAGATCATGATTGGAATATAAGAGATATGCCATATGAGCAGGCAAAGTAAGGTGTGCTTTTTTTAATTTTTTTAATGCCACGTTTCATCATGACTTTCCACAGATTCTTTTATTATCTGTGAATTACCATACATTCTTATGAAAAATGGTTGAAAGGTTTTTCATTGCCTACCACATTGTTTGGAATTAAGAGTTTTATTATCATTTCTACAAAATATAAATATTTCTACTCAATAGCCTCTGGAATAATTTGAAACATAACCATTACGAAACATTAGAATAATACAATAGACCTTACTACCCATAATGCACTACTGTCCAGCAAATAAAAATAGCTGAGTCAAAACCAAAAACATATGGCCTGAAGATTGCATTTAAGCATGAAACAGTCACTGCTGGGTGCTGACGAGAATGTCCACTTTTATATTTACATATGCTGTATCCCTGATATTGGGTACTTTAACCCAAAAATATAGCATACCTTAAAATATATATATATATGCACTCAGCAACCTCTTGCATTTTAGTGGCTTTATTACCATGCTTGGGCTAAAATGATAATATATATATATATATATATCTCGAGGAGGCATGGTGGAGTAATGGATAGTGGCTCAGATTGAGGAATCGGAGAACCGAGTTCAAATTCCAGTCGAATCCATTACATTCACTTATGTGCTAATACCCTTGGGAAAAGTAATACTCTTCTCCCACCAGCTATGCATAAATAGCAGGACAGACGAGGGTTCTATAACCTTGGATGGCAACTGGTCTAGGAGGATGACAACTATGAATTCAAAACCTGTGGAGGTTTGTTTGGGGACCTTGTGGCATATGGTGCACCAGATCTCTGTATTCAGCTCTTCAAAAACTGTGGTTGGTTCTGCACAAAGCCTTCA